TATATATATATATATATATATATATATATATATATATATATATATATATATATATATATATATATGTACAAATATATGTATATGTATATATGTATGTATATATATATGAAAAAATCCCGAGAGAGACAGTTGAGTTCAGTTTTTACAGTCGACCAGACGATACATCTTCATTGCTTATCCTCCGCGACTACCCCACAACCAACGATATCTTCGTGTATCCGCACCATTGGCGATGGGTGTATACTGTGAAACCGGACGACGGACTCGAACTCACTTTGTTCTTTCTGTTTTTCGGGACCATAAACCAATGAAGAAAAGTGATTACCTGTGAATTTTTATTTGTCATCCAAAAAATACTGGCAAATACTTTAGCCACGAATACGAAGACTAACAATAAATTTCAAAAATAAGCTCTAAGATAGATGCTGAGTCCGAAGGAAAAATTTCATGATATTATTCAGTATACATAAATTGAATGCATTAATTACAATCGAAAGTATTAATTTACAACTGAAAGCATTAATTACAATTTTTCCATGATATTATTCAGTATACTTAAATTGAAGGCATTAACTACAAGTGATAAAACAATATAGTTTTTCCCTTCCGTTAATATTGCCTCAGTTTTGAAAATTTTGAAAAAATGAAGCGAAAAGAAATAAATCTGTTTAGCTGCACGTTTTTTGTAAGTTCATGTTCATTATGTGAATTGGAACTTTGACGTCTATTAATAAGTAGTGAACATGTCATTCTTGCGAACAATTCTGTAAAAAATTCAAAAACTGTTTTTGTAATTTCATTGTGAACATTAACATGTGCATACAGTAATACGTGTTTTGAATTGCACAAAAATACTCGACGGTGTTTCTCGGGATCATAAACCAATAAAGAAAAATGATCACCTGCGAATTTTTGTTTCCCATCCAAAAAATACTCGCAAAAGAAAATGGAATTTAACCGAAAACTCTCTTAAACATTACTGTACCCTACATTTTATCGGAACAGTAAGTTAATTTAATAAGTATAAATAATACACGTGGAATCAATGAACCAAATGAAAGAAAATCCAACGAAATGCATTCTGGAAACGTAACAGAAAGCAAAATATTCGAGATTTTGGTGCAGGGAACAAATTTTTCATAAGCAATCGTACATTTCGCATAGATCTAAAACATCTCATTACCTAATTTCCAACGAGATCCTTTAGGAACAAAGTCTATAGTTTCAATCAGGATCACTGATATTACAAAAAGAAGCGATCCATGATGATCTACAAATCGTATTTTTTGATGTCATTTTGTTTTTATTAAAATTTTTAAAATCACTTTGTTCCCAATAATTCCTAAAATCTCTTCAAACTCAGCAAGTATAAAATACGCAAAAAAAAAAAAAACTTAGGTCATTTTTAGCAAAGCAACATAATCCACAACAATGGCAACTGTACTTTGTTTATTGCTTCATTGAATCCTATACTCGACACTCGAGTAAATCCAGCTAGATCCAGCTAGATAGCTAGATCCATTTTCTCAGGTGTGTAGCTGGTTACAGAATTGCAACAGCATGGAAATATTCAAAGAGTTTGCTCCCAAATTTTGCATGAAGTCGAAAACGTTTAATCAATTGTAATTTGTGCTTTGTTCCATTCAAAAACTTGTCGACAAGTAGATATTGACTTAAAGTTGTCGTAAAAGAATGAATCAAACCTGGTCAACCATCACATCAGAAACGGTTGTGTGAATGCTATAAATATCATCAAATATATTCTACGTTTTTTTCCACCATGTTCATTATACGTTATTATTATTATTATTATTACCACTATTATAATAATAATTATTATTATTATCGTCATTACTATTATTATTATTATCATTATTATTATTATTATTATTATTATTACTATTATTATTATTATTATTATTATTATTATTATTATTATTATTATTATTATTATTATTATTATTATTATTATTATTATTATTATTATTATTATTATTATTATTATTATTATTATTATTATTATTATTATTATTATTATTATTATTATTATTATTATTATTATTATTATTATTATTATTATTATTATTATTATTATTATTATTATTATTATTATTATTATTATTATTATTATTATTATTATTATTATTATTATTATTATTATTATTATTATTATTATTA